ACACACACACACACACACACACACACACACACACACACACACACACAAATGTCTACCAGTGGCTCTTGAGAAGTCACTCACATCCTGCTTTAGAAAGACTTGAGCTACTGAAGTCTGGATTTTTTTTTAACAGGCAGCTAGTCGGTCTTATGAAGAGAGTGTTGGGCCTGGAGTCAGGAAGACCTGAGTTCAAATCCAGTCTTACTCCCTTACTAGTTATGTGACCCTGGGAAAGGCATTTAACCTTTCTCTGCCTCAATTTTCTGAACCATAAAATAGTGTTAGTAATAGCATCTGCCTCCCAAGGTTGTTGTGAGGATTGAATGAGCTAATATTTGTAAAGTACCCACTCAGCACTGGGCCTGGCACATAGTAGGTGCTTAATACTTATTCCCTTCCCTTCCCCTAAAAAGCGAGAGTCAAAGGGTTGTGCCATTTAGCTGTCCTCATTCCCCAAGGGCTTCTGTATCTTGAAGCAAGCATAAGGGAGGAGACTAGTAGAACATATTTATATCTTTAGCTTTTGGGTTTTTTGCAGGAAGGATGTTCCACATGACACATCATAATATCAATCTTACTTTGTATCATCACTGGATTTTCCAAATCCAATCTGATGTGGACCAGAAGATCCTAAGATCCAGAGCAGCAGAAATGCTGAGCTACTCAGACCCATGTCTGTATTCTTGGGTTGTCATTGAGGCCATTTTAGATTAAAGGGCCTAGGGTATTTTTCATTGTATTCATTCAGTTAATCAGTTTCGGTGGTCCTTTGGTGTCTGGCAATGTTTCCATATACAACTTCTATCACAAATCATCTTCCATTCCCCTTTCTTATCATACCTATGTGAACAGTAGAGAGTCATCATCAACTTTTTAGTTCAAAAGCAAACCAATTCAGTGATTACCTAGGAATGAGAAAGCAGTGTGGTGTAGTAGAGAGAATTTTGGAGTTGGAGTCAGAAAGACCTGGGTACAAATCCTGCTGAAGATACTTACTAGTGGGCAAGTCACTTAACTGCTACCTGCTTCTATTTCTTCATCTGTAAAAAATAAAGGGGAGGAGAGAGAGACTCAGTGTCCTCTAAGGCCCCTTCCAGCTCTAAATTTATGATCCTATTATCTTATAAAATGATGAGACAATCCAGAGGCAAACAATACAATAAAAAATTTATTATAAAATTTCAGAAAACATAAATATTCAGGTGCTCATTACAAGTGGAGCTGCACCATGGAACATTAACTTTAAGGCAGCACCAATACTGAAATGGAGTATGTCAGAAACAGGACGATGTGCAGCTTTTTCATTCGTGAAATGTTGGCATTCATTCTAAATGGGTATTGCAAAAACAAACCAACCCCCAAACTGCCACACATATAAAACATGGATTTCTAGTTTAGAAAGTTGGTTATTTAGCAGACAACTATTTTAGTAGTACCATAATTTTTTAATAAAGGACAGCAGGATTTGGGCATAACCAGACATTTAAAAAAAAAAGATGATACAGAACAATTTTTTCCTTCTTTCTTCCCTTCTTTCTTCCTTCTTTCCTTCCTTTCTGTTACAGCAAAGCATAAAGAAATAAGTTTAAATAGGAAGGCTCCTTTGTAAATAACAGATAGATATAAAAAATAAAACAGAAGAAAACTCTCATTTGGCTCATGAGTCTGAAAGGGAAGGAAGCACCTTTGGAGATATTTCATTTTTCCCCCTTTCCACATCTGGTGCATGAATCAAGACACAGCGTCCAGGTTCAAGTGCTTCAAGTATGTTGATGGAAATTTTGATATTGTTAGTGAATGAGGAAGTATTCAGAAACAGGAACAGCAGCTGGGGAGGATGGCTGCACAGGCCTGATAGCTTCTGTTCTTGTAACACCTGCTCCCTTTTAAAAAAGAAGACTCAGAGAATTTCAGAACTTAAGAGCTGGAAGGGACCACAGAGATGAGAGGGGCGAGATACTGCATGTGCCTGGTGGTAGGTCATTTTAACTTGTCGTCCTCTTCACAGATTTTTTCTTTTCTTCAGAAAGCACCACATATGCTATAGCAAGTTCATCTTGGCCTAGTTTGGGGCCTTAATTTATTTGAGATTAAAAGAAAAACAACAACAACAACATACTCCTTAGCAAAACTTTGTCCATCCCCTTTAGAATAGGTTCCTTTTGCTTGCAGTACTGGTAGGTTTGACACCCACCATAATACTGCAAAAGGTTATACAAGGCTTCCATGTTTAAACCATTCATAATACCGTTTGCATGTGTGTGTGTGTGTGTGTGTGTGTGTGTGTGTGTGTGTGTGTGTGTATTCAGGCCCATTAAAAAATATTCCCAAAGTCAAAGAACCAAGCCTAGTTATTCTTCGGATTTCTATCTTACTTGGGCACAGCCCAATTCAGATTGTGCAGCTCTTTTCTTGTGCTGAAAAATTATTTTTTCCCACCATGGGAATCAGTCCTAAATTACAAATTAGATTTTGAACAAGACCTACAGCACTGTTTGCCATAAAATTTGTGGTTGCACATTCCATGCTGGGGCACCAAGTAGCACCAACTGAAGTAATCTTTACAGAAGATATCTGAAAAAGAAGAGAAACCATCAACTTTCAATATCCTCACTAGATTGTAAGCTTCTGGGGGACAGGGTCTATCCTTCTTTTACTTATTTGTATCCTGAGAACTTAGCATAGTGCCTGGCACATAGTGGGTGCTTAATAAATGTTTATCACATTATAGTATTGTATTCCCCATGATCTGTTAGTTCCCCAAACACACCATCCACCACAGTCAACAAATAGATGTTTTGGGCAAGTAAAACATTCTTTGTTATTACTTTAAAGGGAGTGTTCAAACTATGTAGGTCAGATAATTTCAAAACTTTATGAGACCTTCCTTTGATATTCTCTTGTAAAGCTTGGAACCTCTCCTTCTCCTTCTTTTTTTTCCCCCAAATAAACCTACCCACCCACTTATCCACCTAGACAATAGTTCCTCTGTTAACTGAATTTCACATTTAAATCCTCTGATTTAGCCAAACCACTCACTGTCCTCTAGTTATATTCCTTCTTAGAAAATACTCAACAGACAGATCTCTGGTCTCTCTAAATATTTTGGATATTTGGGGGTTATTTACTCATGACTTGCAAAGCAGCACAATCTAGGTTGATACAGCAAGCCGAACTGAATATGGGAGGCTTTTGTCTGACTTAGGAAGCCTACAAAGAGTTTATATTCTCATTTTTCTTATCCAAGTATTCTAAACAGCTTTTTTATGTGGAATATTTCTCACAACTATTTCCTCCATAGTAGCAGTATGATGTTATTAAGAATAGGGTATTTTCAGTCAAGGAAACCAGAGGCCACTTGGGTTGGTTTAAATAAAATATGGAGGATTGGGGGGGCAGGGTTGGGAATGAGAGAAAGCATAGGTCCTGATCCAGAGGTCCTCCACATGGGGCTGCTCAGGATAGCCACAAGTGACAGCTCATAGGCCCTACTTCTCACTGACTCTGTAACTGCCAAGAATTAACTAAATAATCTGCCTCCATTAGCCTTAATATCCATAGCTATTGTTATTTATACATTTAGTCATGTCATTCCTCAGCTCAAAAATCTTCAGTGGCATCCTATATTCTACAGAGAAAAGTTCTAATTCATCTCATTCATTACTATTTTATATTATTTCTTTCCAGACAAGACTACTTACTGTGCTTTTCTAGTTCCAATCTTCCTGCTTAGCTGTTCCTTTTGTCTATCTCTTTCCCTATTTACTTACAAAATTAGCACCATTTCTTTATAGCCCAAATCAAATAATACCTACTCCTCAAAAGAGCCTTGATCACCAGGTTGGTCACAACCTTGATGTCCTCAGGTTTAATACAGCCCTTTGCATTTCTTGCATGTCCTTATTCTAAATTATTTGTTTTATAGTTATCCCCTCATTCAAATATGACCCTCCTAAGGGCATGTTTTGTCTAAACTGTGTTTTTCTCTATCACCTGCCATTAATATGCTGCAGAGGCTTAATGTTTGTTGAAATGAATTTAAACATGGAAATACTGTCAGTCACATTTACCTTTCTTCTCTGGGATAGGACAGAAGTGGGTATTGCAGGCTAGGGAGCTGATAGGTTTCTGCTGTGGAAAGCATCCTGTGGTTGGCCGGCCACTTGCTAGGCACTGGACTGATCGTGTTTGAACTCCACCTCCACAAGTTGCTGTGCACTGGGAACAAGGACAACAAAAATTATAGAGAGAAGTGTGTGTGTGTGTGTGTGTGTGTGTGTGTGTGTGTGTGTGTGTGTGTGTTTGTGTATGTTAGATTGAAGGAAATGTGAAAGCTAGAGGCTGAAAAAGAAATGTTTATAATGAGGAAGAAAGGCAAATGCCCAGCACTCACAACTAGACACAATGACCTGGAAGAGACTAAGGAGCCCTTTTCCTTCCCTTCCTCCCTCCCCCACTCCTTCCCTTCCTTCCTCCCTCCCTTCCTTTCTTGTTTCCTTCCTTCCTTCCTTGTTTCCTCCCTTCCTCCCTTCCTTCCTTGTTTCCTTCCTTCCTTCTTTCCTTCCTTCCTTCCTGCCTTCCTTCCTTCCTTCCTGCCTTCCTCCCTCCCTTCCTTCCTTCCTACCTCCCTCCTTCCTTTCTCCCCTAGGAAGTAGCATGGTCCAAATATTTCAAGGTCAGAGGACCTAGGTTCAAGTCTTGCCTCTAACACTTACTATCTGCGTAATGTTGGGCCAATCACTTAGCTCCTCTGCTCCTCAGTTTCCTAATCTGCAAACTGAGGGAACTGAATTAGATAATTTCTGAGGTCCTTTCTAGTTCTAGAATAATGCTATTATATTTACTACTAACTGGGAGATTTAATTTGTTGTGATAAACAAAAATAATATACCCATATTTTCATATTTACTTTGGGGGTGTGTTAAGGGAAGAGAGGAAGAAGGTAGATTTATATGCAGAACTTGAAGTCTTTTAAAGTTAAGTACAGAAATTAGTCTTTTTTTAATTTATTAGCATATTTTCTACCTAAATTCCTACCAGATGCTGGAATGAATAAGATCATGTTTTTATATATGTAAGTGATGTAGTTCCCCCTCTCCAACAACAACAACTTTTATTCCCTTTCTTTACTTCCCTCTGTCTTTCTTTCTCTTCCCCCCACCATTTTTTTTGGTTTCCTTTCCCTTTCCCTTTCTTTGATTTCCTTTCAAGATGTTTTACCCTAAGAGGATCAGAGTTAATACTATAGGAATAATTCCTTTGTCACAAATGAACCTGCATACAAGTTAGGCTACTAAAGGTTAATTGTCTTTCTTGAGTCATTTTTCAAGATTACCATGAGCTGAATCCTGAAGCAGATGTAGTTTGTCTTCCCTTTCCCTTCTTTTCTTAAAGGGTGATATATTCTCATCCCTCAAAATAACCCCACCAAATTTCTCTGTGTATGAGATCTAATGAGGACTCAATAATGATTTACCTAACATTTTCCTTCCCCTTTTCCAGGGAGTAGGACAGTGTACAGTGTGAAAATGACAGTAAATATAGAGGCAATTCATATTCCACTGAAGGTTAAAGAGACAGTAAGCAAAAAGAAAGCATCACTATCTGAAAACTTTTGCTTCTAGGACAAGATGGAATTTACTAATACTGTTCTCAATAATCTTAAAATATTATAAATACATCCCATAATAAATTCATGACACACTACTGTAAGACTGAAACATCATGCAGCCAATTTTCCATTTATAATATGAATAACATTGTTCCTATGGAAAAGTGACAGTGTTTTTTAGTAAACAATTAAAAATCTTAGGTGGAATATGCATATATTTGTAACTTTGGAAAGGATTAATTATATCCTCCTGAGCCACCAGGTAGCATAGTGGATAGAGTGCTAGGCCTGGAATCAGGAAGACTCAATCTTCCTGAATTCAATCTGGCCTCAGACACTAGCTGTGTGATCCTGGGCAAGTCACTTAACCATGTTTGCCTTGGTTATCTCCTCTGTAAAATGAGCTAGAGAAGAAAATGGCAAACCACTCCAATAGATATGCTGAGAAAATTCCAAACAGGGTCAGAAAGAGTTGGATACAACTGAAAAAGAACTAAACAACAACAATTAGATCCTTTCCTAGTCAACTAAATTCGTGTATCAACTTGTGGTTGGAACAAAAATCACTGAATATTGAACATAATACTGTGGATCAAATTCTCTAAAGTGTCCAAGAGCACATAGTATATGTATTTATCTTATAAAATGAAAAATCAATTAAACAAATATGAATTTCTCAACTCATAGTTTCAGACACTGAAGGCTGAAAGTGTCTTTAGAGGTTATTTTAAAATGTAAAAAACATCCTCAATAATTAGGCAACCCGACTTTACTTTAAGATCTTCTGTGAGAGGGAATGAATGAGCTTCAGGCAGTCCATTTTATTTTTTTTTGAGAGCTATAATTATTAGGTCATTTTTCCCCTCTTTAATTTCTGTCCATTGGTCCTAGATTTATGAAGCAGAATAGGCCTAGCTCTTCTTCTACCTGATAGGGTAGAATATTTGAAGGGTTCTAGATGTCTAAATATGCACATTTCCTTCAATCAGCCCTCATGTACTGTGATTTTGAGTCCCTTCATTATCTGGTTACCTTCCTAGAAATGCTCTAGCTTTTCAACATCTTCCATATTCATTCATTCATATATTAATTTTAAATATTCCACAGGCATCTATTGTCTATTATAGACATAAAACTGTTAAAAAAAAAAGAAGCCTATGAGAACTTCTTGCATAAAGTAGGACATGTATGTTCATACATGAAACAACTGAAGTTTCTTTATTCTTTATGCTGCATTTGAAGAAAAATGTAGACCTGAATTGGTGGCAAAGAGAAATAGGGAGAACTTAAAACTAAATGTGCTATCTAAAAAAATGTAATTTCAAAATATCTGCATAGTTATAGTTTTGTAAAATGCTTTAGTAAATAATCTCTGTCTCTATCTCTCTGTCTCTCTTTCTGTGTCTCTGTCTCTCTCTGACTCTCTCTGTCTGTTTCTCTCTCCCCCCCTGAGATGCCAAACATCTTTTAGCAAATTTCATGATATGACTCTATGAAAGAAAAAATCCAGGGAGTCCAGGATGGCTTCAGGGTACTCAGAGTTCCAAGGATATGTGTCATCAACATGAAGAGAGGCTGGATAATGACCATCTACTCTCTTGCAAAACAAAATTCTGAGACAGTAGTGGCAGGTGCGAGAAATGGTAATGCCTGGCAATGAACACTTGTAAGGAATTCCCTCTCAATAGGGGCAGTAATGATATTCAAATATTTAATAGAGACTTTAGCAGCAAGTTATTACTAATGATTTTCAGATTGGCTAACAAACTCTTTTAAAGCAAATAACTGAAGTCCGAATGGAAGTAAAAATGGGAAATCACTCTAAGATTTTGCATGCCAACTTGACCTTAGTAGTATCTAAGCAAACTTGGGTTCTAACTTGCATGTGTGAATATTTGGGCTATTGGCTAGTTTAATTACTTATCCAATAGGTACAACCCAGTAAAAATTACCTACCAGGCTGGGTGCTTATTGTGTAATTGACACATCCTTATCAAGATGCTTCTGCAGAAGAATTAGGATGTCATTGAAATTCTAGGGACTCAAGCCTTGTCCAAGGTCCTGAAGGGGCTTGTCCATTACAGGTGCTTTCCCATTTGTTTCTAGAACCAAACTGGCTCATTGAGGGTATTTAATATTATAGATAATCTGAGGTCAGGTTGGATATCCCAGAGTGATTCTAGGGCCACCAGGGCTAAATATAGCTATACCCCAAATTAGACAATCCCAAATATTCCCCCACCTCACTCTTCATCCCAATAAGGCTCACAAGTCTGTTCTAGATCCAAGTATTTGGATAGGTCAGAACTAAATTCAGATATTAAAGGAGACAGGTAAATGATTTCCAAGGTCCCTTCTAGCTCTGATTACTTTTTAATGTCCTTTGTTGGATTATCATACATCTCAAGCTGCCTAATTCTGGGTACTCCAGGATGCCTTCTCATGCCTCTTCTTCTGTCCTCACTCTGTCTTACTTGGGAACCTCATCAGCTCCCATTGGATTAATTTATATCTCAGTGCAGATGCCTTCTAGATCTATATATCTAGCAACTGTCTCTCCTCTGAGGTGCAGGACCATCACCAACTGCCTATTATTGACCATTCCCAATTGAATGTCCAATTGTGAAATGTCCAAAACAAAACTTACTACCTTTTGCTACAATCTTACCTCTCTTCCAAACTTCTGTATTACTGTGGAGGGTTCTATTCTTTTAGTCATGAAGGCTGTCATTTCTCAATGTTATCCCTGAGTCTTTATTTTCCCTTAGTTCACCAAATGTTCTCATTTCTACCTCTACAACACTTCTCTCATCTGTCCCTTTTTCTTTTCCCACACAGCTTACACTCTATTTCAGTCCCTCATCACTTTTCCCTTGTACTACTGCAGTTCGACAGCTAGGTTGCTCAGTAGATAGAGGGCTGGGCCTGGAGTCAGGGAGATTCATCTTCCTGAGTTCAAATCTACCCTTGGCACTTACTACCTGTGTAACTCTGGGCAAGTCACTTAACCCTATTTGCCTCAGTTTCCTCATCTGTAAAATGAGCTGGAAAAGGAAATGGCAAACCACTTTATCATCTTTGCCAAGAAAACCCCAAATAGGGTCATGAAGAGGCAGATGCAGTAGCCTTTTACTTGGTCTCTCTACTTCAAGACTCTCTCCTCTGTAATCCCTCTTTCATGCTGTTGTCAAACTGTTTTTACTTATGTGCATGTCTGACCATGTCACTATCATACTCATTGAACCTCATTGGCTCCCTATCATCTTAAGGAACAAATATGGACTATTGTGTTTAGCATTTAAAGTTCTTTGCTATCGATCAATCTATCAAGTATTTATTAAGCACTGTGCTCAGCACTTTGCTAGGTACTGGGGATGCAAGTACAATGAATAAAATAATCCCTGCTTACACTGAGTTTATGCTGCCTGACTCTAATCTACCTTTTCAGTCTGTTACAAATTCTTGACCTTCATATACTACAATCCAGTCAATCTAGCTTTCTTATTTTTCCTCATAAATGGAACTTAATTCTTGATCTCTGTGCCTATTCATTACAAACCCTCCCCCCCCACACACCTCTTGTAATTCCTAGTTTCCTGTTGGACTT